ACTCTGGCCATCGAGAGAAGGTCGGGCACGTATACAAACGAAAGGCGGGCAAACTCGCCAGCTAAGTCACAGCCACTTACGGGCACTCCTCGGGCCCATAAGTTAGGCTAGTTTTTATGCAAAAATATAAAAATCAAGCACGGGCAAACAATCAAATTTGAAACAGCATTCATTCAAAAAACGCCCGAAGGCAACAAAGCAAATAAAAGTAAACCGACCAAGAAGGCCGACGATGTTCAGGAAGTACAAAACCAACGGGCACGCAGGCCCAAAAAATACGAACGGGCACGCAGGCCCAAAACAAATATCAATAAGGCACGCAGGCCCGTCATCCTATAATCCAGTTTCCCTGGAACCATCATTGTCGACAACAGGAGAGTCGGGCGGGGGCACGATCACGCCATCCACAATCTGATACATGTAGCCCGTCCCTTCGGTGATCAAACCGGGATTCAGCAAGGAAAGTTGGCTGACCGCGGAGTCGAACCCCTTCTCCATAGCACCGACGCAATCCGCTTCGAGGAGCCGGATGTGGGCGACCAGCTCCGATCGACTCTTCAAAGCGGCTATATCCTCCGGCTCATCCTCGGCAGGAAGCATGACGACTTTCAGGTCCTCGATCTGTTGGGTTAGACGCCCGATGTCGGTCTCCAGACGATCCCGGTCCGCTCGGAGAAGCTCTCCCTCCTCGGCTAGCTTCCCCGAGTTTTCCTTCTCCAGAATCAGCATCTCCCTCTCGGCAGCCAGCAACGATGCATGTTCGCGGAACATCTCCTCGGAGCGTTCCAGGGCAGTCCTTAATTTGCGCGAACTCGAGGCAAGGGCCGCTTTCTCCTGTTCCAATGCTTCAATGCAGACAGGATCCTCCCCTTCCTCGGACAGCACAACGGCCATTTCGGCCATTTTCACTAGCCCGGCCATATTGGCGCCAGGTGCCTCCTCCGGTCCTCCTTACTCATCCTCCTGATAGTCTCGGCCTCGTCGGCAACCACGGACAAAGGGAATCCCTCGAAGAAACCCTCCTCTTTGAAGCAAGGGGGCAACCCGAAGGACCTTACGGCGCTGGCGTCCTCGCCGACCGCCGGCCCGCTTTCCACCCGGTTCCTTTTTCTTTGTATCAGGTCGGCATATGGCTCGACCTCTTGAACCTCTGGGATCTCTTCCGACGCGGCCCCCGAGCTAGGCGACGAATCCACCCTCACCACATGAGGGGCGCCCGGACTATGCGGCGGGCCCATCCTCGTTGCTTGGGGAGCCTTCACAACCCTTCTGCCCCGCTTCTGGTCACAAGACAGCTTCAAGAGTCTTTCCCGTCGCCCGGCCATCGAACCTGCACAAAATAAAAACCGGGTTAGTGTCGAGCAAATACACAAACAAATGACAAGCAAAGAAATTCAAGCAATGGACGACCTAGCAGACGAGCAGCCTGCCTGAACGACTGGCACTCCACGAGTGCCTTAGTATCGATCGGTCGGGCCTCGAATGTCGGATAACCCTCCTCGTCCAGGACATCTTCCCCCTCCCTCGTAGCCCACTTGGCAGGGTGGAAGCTGTCAACGAACCGACAAAGAGTGTCGTAAGCTTTCTCATCCTCGGAGCCCATGTCGCCCGCAGAAGTGTGATAATACCCAGTTCCGTGCTCGTAGTGCCTAAACATCCAATGCACGGGGAACTTGGCCGTGTGAGCCATCACGGGATACCCGTCATTGTCTAAAATCGCCTCCCCGTCATTGTCGCTTATCGGCGCTTCCTCCTCGTACAGGGATTCTAAAGCGGCTGTGGTAACCGGCCTCACGACATACCACTTGTCTTTAAAACCCCTCACGGAGTCCATGTACATCTTGAATAGTCTCCTCGACTGTTTTAAGGAGACCCAACTGTGCTTTCCTCCTCGGGACTGGCGCTGTAGATGGAAAATTCTGAAGAAGAGAGGTATAGTCGCCCCGATCCTCAGAAAACGACATGTCATCTCAAACGCCCGGATAAAGGCGAGCGAGTTCGGGTGTAGCTGCGACGGGGCCAGCCCCAAATGGGCGAAGACCCCGGCCTGAAAGTCACTGAAGGGCAGCTGCAGCCCAAGGTCTTTGAACGCAATTTCGTACATGGGGAAACTATACTCGGGGTACACCGAGCAGATCCGGGCAGTGGAGGTCGGTCGCGTAACGACGAAATTCTTTTGAAAATCAGGCTGACCGTGGCTCGCCTCAAGGACAGCATATGGCTTTCGGTTACGCCGGCTATAGATCGAGGCGATTCCTCTAGGCTCGGCGCCCACCCAGTCCAACGGAGGGTCTTCGATAGTGTCGATCAAACTCACTGCCTCATCGGCACTTTGTTCCTCCCTTTCGGGGCGTCCAGAAGAGCACGGCTCGTCCGCCATGGTTACCTGCAGAGCACGGGAAACCAATCAATTGGGCACGAAACCACACGCTCGACGTAACGGACCAGATGTAGTGTGCGACAAACCACGTCGCCCCACGCGCGATCATAAAAGTTTGAAACAAAAGAGCAGTCGCCTCCTCGACATCGAGATAACTCGACGCGACCTTCTCCAAGCCGCCTAAGCAAACCGACAACGCGGTCCCTCACGAATACGCCGACCCAAGGTATGAACATGGCGAGCAACATCATAAAACCTACAGCCAGAGCCATGAACATACCGGGCACGATCATGAATCAGGCGCCCTGGATCATGAAGACCCCGGGAAGCACTGCAGATTATAACCTAAGTATGAATTTGTCGAGCTAAGTATGAATTTACCGGGCTAATCCCACGCGCACAGTCCCTAAAACGTCTACAACGATGAAAATCATGCATCACAACAGGAAAACAAAGAAGATAAGCCACTTACTTGGAATCAAGGAGTGGATTCGGCAACGGAGGAAAAGAATCTGTGACAGAGATCGCAGCTATGCTATGGAAATCTGGAAGAACAGCAGCAGCAGAAGCGCGAAGAGTAGTAACGCGTTATGGGGCCCAAGGATCCTATTTATAGTGATGACGTGGAATACCAAACGTCACCTCAGGCAATCGCAGAGTTTCTCTCCTCGACGCACGGCTCCCAAGGCAATGATGATCCTATCCTCATAGGATGACAACACAGTTCCCAAAAGATACCTCGCGCGCTCGACAGACGCGCCGTTGAGGAATCCCCGAGCACTCTCCGCGAGGAGCACCACACGGGGAGCGACGTCTCTGACCCGGGCACGGGGCCCCAAAATGGAAGCAACCTAAGATCAAGCCATGGCTCCTAGCCCGAGGAACCACGGCTTGGGGGCTCCTGTTCTGGACTGGGCCCGACAGGCCCAATAGCCTTGACAAGGCCCAATCCAAATGGACTTGCTGAGGGCCACGCCGACCAAAGGGTCGCAGTCGTGCCCGACGTGCTCCCTGAGACTACTTGCTCGACTTCCTGCTGCCCAGCCTGACCTCCAACTGTCCAGCTCGACATCCTACTGTCCAGCTCGACCTCACCTAGAGCACCCCAACTAGGGAAGACTCAGTCCACTACACTCCCAACGAGACCCCGAAAAGACCGCGTCTCTGTCCGCCCGCACTTCACGCAGAACATCTAGGGAGGGGACCACGTGCGGGTCCCCACTACGCACGTAGAACCTGGCAGTTCCTCCATTGGGCCAAACCTGCCCGGCCCAATGAAGGAACCTTGGCCCAGCGCTGGGGGCTATAAATACCCTCTGTTTCCAGAGGGTCAGGTATTCATCATTCTACCCATACTTACTATTGCCTGCTCGTGCTCTTACTTACTTTAGCATCGGAGTGTCTTGCAGGTACCCCTCCCCCCCCCCCCCCCCCACCTCGTTCAAAACTTTTAGCTCGGAGCCAGCCGTGACGGTCCAAGTCTGATCAGGTCAGATCAGTTTTGATAATGTCTTTTGCCTTGATCATGATGTTTGTAATCATCAAAATATAAACTAGCTGAAACATGACTTTATATTATGATACTCAACGCTTTATCACTAGCATTTGCATGTTTCTTAATTCTTCATTCATCTAATGGAAAATTTAGAAATAAGAAATGTTCTATTAATCTTCCATTGAATCTGAGTATCCTATCATGTCATATATTTGTACAAAAATAATTTAGCTTCATGGTATATCTTTTAGATGAATTTGAATTTGCTCTACATCACTTTATAGTGACAATACAAGTAGCATCCAAATCATTACAAATCTTATTTTTCATTAACACTCCAAATATATCAAAGTTGATTTTCATTTAATTAGTGATGTCTATGATAACCAAACTATATCACTTTCTCATGTTATTCCTTAGTACCAAGATCCAAATCACTAATATTCTTACTAAATATGTTTCACGCTCACGTCCTCGTTTTCTTTTTAGCAAATAGATGTGTATTGATCAACCAGAAGGGATCTTAATCTTTTTTTTTATACTTATCATCTTTCATAAAATAGATATTAGACAAATTAGAAACAAATCAAAAATTGGTTTGTTCTCTTTAATATATATTAAAGCAAAAGATGTCAAGACCATATTAGTTACAGATCATTCATATTTATTATATTAGATTAGATCTCAAGGCTCTAGTTATAACAACCCCAACAACCATATATTAGCAAAGTTTCTTGGATTAAATCGTACACAAAAATCAAGGTGGTGCGTTTTTTATTTCACTTCTCTTATTCCTCAATCTTTTATAAGAACCACAACTTGTAATGTCGATCTCAAACAAGTGAACAATGAATAACCATTTGTCAATTTTCGGGACCTATAATAATGGCTATTTGGTTCTAATCCTCTCTAGTAACAATCATCATTTATAACAACCGCCAGGAATTAAATTATATATCAATTCATACTAATAATTTTCCAACCAACATCTATATGAAACTTTCTTTAAAAACACACCAACATTATAAGAAAGCCTTCATAGCATTTAATCACATAAACAATTATCAAGCTCCATTTAGAAACTCTTTTAGATCCAATTTGATTCCACACTAGAAAGTGGAAGCTATGGATCAACTCAATTCCCATAAAATAGCATTTTTTATTCAAAGCATAAGAACTCATCATAACTATCTAATTAAGCTAACACCATTGCTAGTTTCATTATCTTTGTTTCCTTTCATCTTTTCTACTTCTTCCTTAATTTCTTTCCTCCATCACTTTAACTTCTACTTCTCTACATTCCCTTTCCAACTATTCACTCACACCATTGACAAAAATTGCATCTTCCTCCTATGTAATGGCCTTCTTGTTTTTGTTGGAATAACAAGATCTTTATCTTCGGGGACTAGTAGTGTGGATGAATCTTCCAACAATGTTGAATATAGTTCACAGTTACTTTACTCAACCATTGAAGCTAAAGTGCCAGTGTTAGTGGTGAAGGAGAAAACCACTGAGCTTAAAGAAGTGAGTGATGAGGCAGAGAAACAATTTAAGGATATAAATTTGAAAGAAAGAAAAAGAAGTAGCATATTAGTTTTGGAACAAGAGGAAAAGCCAAAACAAGAAAGTAGGCTATTTGATGAAAGAGATGAAGACAAAGACAGTGGTAAGGAAGACGTTTTAGAAGAAGCAAACTGGGTACTAAACACAGATGAGTTGAACAAAAGGTTTGATGACTTCATTAAAAGGATGAAAGAAGATTTGAGGATTGAAGCTCAAAGACAATTTGTCATGGTTTGATTTTGATTAGGAACTATGCTGATGTTTTTATGTTGGAATTTTATATAGGATATTTTACAAGGCCTACTAAATAAATATTTAAAATATATACTTTTAGAGAATGTGGTTTTAATCATGCTAATAATAGATATTCGGTAATTAAGTGATAATTGTGAGATATTGGATCGAACTTTAATATGGTTGAAGAGGTGGCTCCGACAAGAATTAAGTATGAGGTCGAAACTTGTTCGCATGCTGCTTTCGAAATAGTGTATGTTGTAGTTGAAGTTGTTCTAACATGCATTAGTCGATATTTGCTAGGTTTGTTAGCATGTCGAATTGGACCTGTTTGTTATGCCCAATTGTTTAAGTTAGTTTGATCCCTAAGTTAGCTTGTAATGATTTTGTATGTAAAACCTCATTAATTTAGCGTGTGAGTTTTCTTATAAATAGCATACTAGTCTCTAATCATTGTACAACACAAATTCTAATTAGGCTGGAAGATGTTATTTGTTATTATGTAACACTTGTAATCTTGTTCAAAAGAAAAAGTAAAGAATAATAGTTTATGACAAATTCTTTGTGTTCTTTTTGCTTCTCTCTTTCTTACCCTTGTGGGTTTTTGCCAATCAAGAAACATGTTATACTCTGTTCTTGAGATCGTTTTTCTCAATAAATTGGTGTGGTAGGCGTGGAGAAGATGCCGTCAACAAAGTATGAGATTGAAAAGTTCACCGGAGTGAACGATTTTGGTATGTGGCGCTTGAAGATGAAATTATTACTAGTTCAGCAGGGTTGTTTAGAAGCGTTGAAGGGAGTTGTAGAAATGGATGTTGCATTAAAGGATAAAGAAAAAACAGCTATGATAGAGAAAGTCCACGGTGCCATCTTATTGAGCCTTCGTGATAAGGTTCTTTGACATGTTTCGAAGGAGACGACGACGTCTGGTCTATCAAAGAAACTCAAAATTTTGTACATGATCAAATCGTTGGTCAATCTCCTCTAACTGAAGCAAGATCTATATTCACTCAAGATGAGTGAAGTCCAAGTTTTATCTCATCGGTTGGATATATTCAACAAGTTGATTCTTTATCTTGAAAATATCAATGTCAAAATCGAGGATGAATATTAAGTGTTATTACTTTTGTGTGTTTTTCCTAAAACACATGCTCACTCAAAAGAAACTCTCTTGTATGAAAGAGAGTCGCTGACCTTTGAAGAAGTTCAATCATCCTTGTACTCTAAGTATTTGAATGAATGAAAGGAACACAATCCATCTTCGAATGGTGAAGATCTGTAGATTAAGACAAGATTCACAAAGAAATATGGCAAGTTCGACAAGAAGAAGGGTAAAAGTCAGCAGAAGTCTTGGAGTGGTGATGCATCTGGTATTCGATGTTATCACTATAAGAATTAGGGTCATACAAGAAAGGTATGACATAAAAGTATGAAAGATAATTGAGGTAAACATAATGGCAATGCAACCATTGTTCAAGATAATTTTGACTCGTCAGATGTTCTTGTGGTTTCAAGCGGCAAATCAAGTAAAGAGTGGATTATGGATTCAGGTTGCACTTAGAACATGACTCCAAACAAAGACTTGTTCGAGGAACTATGTGATCAAGATGGTGGATCTGTATTGCTGGGAAACAACAAAGCTTGCAAATTATAGGTGTTGGATCTGTGAGATTTAAGCTCCATGATGAGTCAATAAGGTTGTTGACTAAAGTCAGGTATGTGCCTCATTTCTCTTGGTGAACTCGACAAGAAAGGATATGTTTTCCAAGGAGAGAAAAGTATTCTCAGAGTCATTGATAAGTATTTTTTACACCTTTGTTTACAGTTCATTCAATTTAATTTTGTAATTTTTTTAAGCTCTTTATTTTCCTTTTCTGTATTTTATGCTTTGGTTGTGTCTCTTTAATGTTTTTGAGTTCGGGTAGGCATTCAAGAAGAATAAGAGCAAAATCAAGGAAAAATTGCAAGAATTCAGAAGAAAAAAATTGCATACTCCAGGAGGTCTGACACGATCGCCCGTGTCAAGCAACACTGGCTGTATCAGGCAACAAGGCCACCCGTGTCAAGCAACACTGGTCGTGCCAGCCTGACAGTATGAATATCTAAAATATTATAGGTGAAACATGGGTGCCCGTGTTGCCTAACACGGCCAGTGTCGGCTTGTTACATTAGTTTCAGTATTTTCTCCTATTTTGCTCAAGGTTTTATCTGAAAGGGTGGTTTGGGTATTTGCGACCGACCAAAGTGAATGTTTGCTATTTAGATGAGTTTTCACGATGAATTAGTGAACTTTTTGGCAAGCGAATAATTACACGAGAGAAGATTGGAGAAGACAAGGGTTTCAGTGGAAGGAGATTTTCATGAACGAAAAGGATTGAAGATCAAATTTCTCCCTAATACTTGTAATGTTTATAATTTATCTTTTGTTTTCTTTGAATAGTATGAGTAGCTAAATTCCCTAATGATATGAGGATATCCCTAATGTGATTTTGTAACAACTCTGAATTCTTGATTGCATAATACAATTTTTTTCTTATTCAGTTTAATTGTACAAGGTTTTTATGCTTTCTTTGTCGGACCAACAAGAATTGATCTACGGTTAACAATCAACTGGATTGTGGTTGTTAAGGTTTTTGTATGATTAGACTGTAGTAGATATTACTTAGGACTAGGGATACCCTATAGTTAGCGGTTAACTCTTGATAAAAACAAAGGCTTGAATTCATCATAATTCTCTAAGGACTTAGGATTTATAATGGATGTTCAAAGGTTTTCCCACTAAGGACTTAGGGGAAAATAACCTAAGGGGTTGGTAATTGAATTTTATGAACTTGTTGAAGAAATCAGGATTCAAGGTTATTATAGAGAAAATCATACACCTTCCCTAGCATGTTACTCATATCTGTCAAAACAGTCTTTCGCATCTATTTATTTTATTCGCAATTATTTTATTTTAGCAAATCAAACCTAAACTCTAGTTATTGTTCAATCGAACAAGAATTTGAGCTCGATATTTATACGCAGTCCTTGAGATCGACATTCGGGGAACTTTTCTCATTATTATTGCAGAGGCAAAATAATACACTTGCTATTTTTCTGATTAAGTTTTTAGCGTCGTTGCTGCAGACTGCCGAAATATAGAGTTTTAATTTTAGTTCAATTAAAATTTTGTTGTTCGTCGACTAAAATTTTGTTTCAGTTTTTTTTATTTTATTTTTTTTAATTTTATTCTATTGTAAAAAAGTCATATTATATTTGCTTCACGAATTCTTCTATACTTTACTATTAATAAAGTGTTTGAGTTTTGTAGTCATGTATTATTTTTATACATTGCCACCTGTATCTCCTGCATGTTAGTCGCCTGATTCAGGATTCACTTTGGAAGAGGCGACTAAATTTTTTAAAGCATATAAGAGGGAGGTAAGAATTCTTATGAATGAATGTAAGGAAGCTAACTGTTACCCATATAGGTTTATTTGGAGGGAGTACAAGTTGGAAGAAGAAGATGTGAAACCAGAAGAAAAATACATAACATCAGATGAAAATGATGCAGGAAGTATAGAAGAATTTGAGGTAAACAAGAAATATAGGGAAGAAGAAATAAGGGAACTTGAAGATGATCTAGTTTTGGATGAAACTACAAATTTAAAAATTTTTGAAGATGTTGAACTCCAACAAGAAAATCTTCAATGAAAGAGTATCCCTAAAAACTATTTTCACAACAAGGCAAATGAAAGACAAGAAATTGACAAAGTATTGGATGACATTTATTATGCCTTGTTCAATAAAATAAAACTGAAAACAATTTGGAAGCAATATCATCAATACTTTAAGTTCATGGGATTGTTGTCAAACAAGGGAAAGAAAAAAAATGATGTATTCTTTGTGTCATATAAGCAACCCTAACATGGGTCATGAACCGTCGAGCTATCCGACATTAAACAATGTGCTTCATGGGAGGAAACCCACGCTTTTAATGACTTTTTTTTTTGCTTGTTTTGTCTTTAGGTAATAAAAAGGGGGCCTTGCAGGGAAAGCTAGGATGCAACAGTTGGTGTTGCAGTACACTCTATGAGTCACCCTTCTCAATCTTGTTCTGAAACATTGGGGAAAATGTTTAGTTCAAGTTTGGATGGATTTACTGTTTTGTTTGTTGTTTTGTTTGTTTGTTTTATGCTATTTGCTTTGTAAAACAACACGTTGAAGCCTTCCCAAATTTTGACCAAATTTTTTTGTTTTCTTTTATGCAAGAGCCTGTATTTCAAAGAGATCAGGACTAATATATAGAGATAAAGGGATGATTGTTTGATGGTAGGAAGTTTAGAATAATGTGACTGTGATACGAGTCTAACGTATAGATTTGTACCATAGTGCTTGAATACTTAGAAGTACTTATTGACTAGTTTATCTATACAGTCTGGCATAATATGGATTCACATGCATGTATTATTGGTTGAGAAGCAAATAAAGTTGGCATCAAATAATGAAAAGGTGGGAAAAGGAAATCGGTCCGCTAAGTTGGGTAACCTACACCAAGTTATTCATCCCAAAGGGGGTTGATCCCCAAACAAAGTCCAAAAAGGACAATATATAAACTACAAAGTTTTGAAAATTTCATTGGTATTAAAAGTAGCAAGTATTGCTTATTTGGTGCCTAAACAAAAAAGTTTGATTAGTCTTGTGCATGTAATGATCATCATAATTCTCATTGCCTTAATCTGGTTGTCCGAATGAAAGAAGAGGAAATTCGGAAAAAGACTTAAGTACAAAGAATAGTTAGAGAGGTATATGAAGAGGAAGATCAAGATTAAAAGGTTCTTAAAAAAACTCTTCGTGTCGTGTGAACACTGGACAGACTATCTCTTGATTAATGTGAACACAAATCTCACGTATGAGTATCGGTATATTTTGCATTTCATGCGCTCTTTTATTTATTGCTTAAGGTCAAGCAACAATCTAAGTTTTAGGGAGTTTGATCAGTGGTTTTTACATCTTTGTTTACC